GTTCGCTCAACGGCCTGGTTTCAACCCGGCGGTTTTGCCTCAAGTGGTCGGCCAAACTATGTTTTATAACCAACAACAGTCCAAGTTTTCTGGTTTACAGTTACCGGCTCAGCCACTGCAGATCCCGACCACTTCCTCGGTGGCCGAGAGCGTCAGTGCTGCCAGTGCAGCGATTGCGTCCGATCCAAACTTTGCGGCGGCTCTAGCGGCAGCAATTACCTCCATTATGAACGGTTCCAGTCATCAGAATAATACCACCAATAGTAATAATGTGGCTACAAGCAACGGTGACAGTAGGCAATAAGAGTTTTCATTTTGATGGTTGATTTTTTTTTTCGTACTTTGTTTTGAGTTTTGGATGTGTAATTATACGTATCTTTTTTGTTTAGCTTTTTTTCCGTGAACAACAAGGGTCTTAAGAACATGTTTTTTTTTTTTTTATGTTCTTCATGTAAGATCAACGATTTTGTTTGGAAATTAATATCTCTCTAAAATATATTTTCTTCAATATGAGCTCACACATAATTTCTTTTATATATGCTATATAGTTTTTTTTGATATATTACTTTAAAAATTAAATGATATTTTTTTGTTTTATAGTTAGGAATTTTGGATAAAACACCCTAAAGATAAAAGGAACAAAAATGAAAGCATAATACGCATATCAATTAACATTGTTCTAAAGGTCACAAGATATGGGCTACTAGTCGAAGCCTTGAAGCCTGGTCTTTAAATGATGATTAAATCAATTAATTCACCGACTAATTTACCGGAAGGATTGGTTACCTATAAAAATGGTAAACCAAGATTTAAATAGAAACAGATCTTTCTTTTTGGTTTTAATATGGTATACATGGACAGGGCCGGTCCAACGTTTTCGGATGCCCTACGCAAATTAAGAAAAGCATACCATTTTTCCATTTTTATACAAAATTTTTTTAACCTATGCTCACTTGTTAAATTTACTTTATCTTTTACATTTATTTAGTAAGGTTAATTGATCCTAATCTATTAAAACTCTTTTGTAAATTAACTCTTCATTTGCTGGAAAAAATAAAATAAAAACTCTTTGTTTTTAATAAAATTCACATATTTATCAAAAAATTATCTTAGAAAAAGAGTAGATTATACACAAAATTATATTTTTTTTAATTTAAACCCCACAAATATGATTGAAAGAAGCCCACCAAAATATTGATCTTTTAAAAAAGAGGTTTATAATATAATTTATATATATAAATTAAACTTTAAGAAAATTAGCCTAAAAAATGTCCCCAAAATTTTGATGCCCTAATCCTTTGCTTCACATGCTTGGCCTATAAGCCGGGCCTGTACATGGATCACAAGCTTTATTTTATTTTATTTGGTAGGAGGAAGGATCACAAGCTTTATTGTTTCAACTATTCTAAGCTCAAGATATTCGATTTTATTGTAGAAAATCCGCGGAAAATTTTCAAAATTAGCGTGCGTGGATGCATACAAATATTGTCGAGATGTCCTGGAAGAATGCCTCAAAATATCCCTTTGACTCGTGTTAAGAATAATGTGGTCGTCACACTAAGTAGAGATGTCTTAATTGTTAGCAGTACGTCGGGGTATGTCCAAAATATGGATATTGGAAATCTACAAGATGGATTCTTCGAAAGGGAACAAGTGGAAGCAAACTTTTTCTTTAGGTAATGAGGCAATTATTTTGGATTTAGGTATTACAGTGCCTCCTAAGGACATTAAAGAAATCAAGAGAATTTCGATCTACTTTAGTGCCACGGATTTTGATGATCAACATGACAAAAATGATGTTTTCATATTCAATCTCAATACATAGAAGGTTGAGCACCCGAGCAAATATTCTTTTGGATGTCCATTGATAGAATTGATTTTATAAACTTTATAACCTTACAATGGATGTCCAAAAGAATACTAAAAGTTATGTCGAAATCACAATGCTATAATTTTATAAAATCAATTATATCAAATATTTGTTAAGACATCAAATTAAGTTTATAATAAGTCTAATGATAATTCAGTGTTTTTATTAAAGTCTATTTATATGCTATAATTATTGAAAAATTGAAATAGTTAAAAAAAAAGGCAAAACATAAGCACAAAATATGCAAAACAGAAGGTTTGAAAAAAGATATTAAAAAGGTTTGAAAGTTTAGGGAGCACCCTCCTTGAAAATATATTTTTGTAAAGATCTAACTACTTTGTAAAGATCTAGCTACACTATAGTGTCAAGATCTAACTACTTTATCAAAGAAAGGATCTAACTAACCTGCGTACGACTGGAGGAGGAACTATAGAAAGCTACAACATATTTTATAAACAAACTATAATGACACAGTCGAAACTTACCATTGTGTTTAAAGGTACTTGTGCACTTGAGATGTAACGATAAGGGTTAGGCATGGGCAGCCAATCTTTTGACGGGACCCAAAGGTTAGCACTTCTGGTATCAAAGATAACAGTGAAAGTTTGGCCTGGAGTGCCGATTGTGATATCGCCATAGTACCTACGGTCGTTTTCAGTCTGCAACCGTACTCCATCATTGTTCTTTGACAAATTATCTATCTTCAAGAGGATTCTTACAAGCTTTTGAGCTGACAAAAAAAAAAGATAAGTATACATAAGTGTATGGACATATTGATGTAGTGTCAGGATCTAAATAACTTGCAAGAGATTGGAGGAGGAGGGAGGGACAGAAAGCTACAATAAGAGCTTGTGAGAATTCCTTGAAGATATCTACGTCGAAATACTTTTATCTTCTTAAAGTATCTAGTCGAAATAATCTGTTTCAAAATTTAAATAAAAACAATAAAGTTTGTTGACTAATAGTAATATCTGATTTTTGATGTTATACTCTCTCTGTTTCATAAAGAGTATCATTCTAGCATTTTTGACACAAATTAAGAAAAGTAAACAAATTTTATTTCTACTCCTTATTAATACACTAGATAATACTCTCTCTAATTAATAAGCTGAAATAATAGAGATGAAAAAGAGAATTAGTCTTAAAAACTGCATTGAAAACATAAAACGATACTTTTTGTGAAATAAAATTAAAACTTTAAAATGACACTGAGGAAATATTTGTTAGTAGACTAACTAAAAGAGCTGATTACGTATTCATCGATGGCTTAACCATGTAAACTAGACAGGCTCGATCTTGTCGCAAGATCTCTTAGCTCAGATAAGCTTCTCTCGAGTTTCAACGCTAATCTACTCTGTTCTCGAAAACTTGCTAATTCTCTATTCTTTCTTTTTTGATTGCTTCTTCCAAGAGAGAGAATAATCCGGCAGAGTTTGTCTCTCTCTCTCTCGTTTTATGTTTGCAAGGTCCGAGAATAAAGGTTTTAGAGATGATTCAACTTTATAGAGAACATCACATTTCTGATTTATTATTTAAAGAAGACATGAAAGACTGTTACTTTATATTACAACGTAACACATAGTAGCTTTATAACCGATTACTTTATGTTTCACCCATTTAGCCGAATCTTTCTCCCTTCTATCAGCTGGATTAGTGAAGTTCACCCAATTCAAACCAAAGCAGATTGTGTAACCGCTACTGAATTCGTAATTATCCATCGAAGACCATGGAAAATTCCCAGCTATGTTGCATCCATCCCTATATAAAATATATATACACTTATATTAATATGAAAAAACAAAATAATATTTGTTTTTTTCTTCCATGTATATATAACCCAAATTATGATCAACTGGTATTTTAAACATCACATATTACTTACTCGATTGCGCATTTGAGACACGCCAAATGACTACAGTGGTTTTCAATTCGTCCTTGGTCTGCTAGTGCTTCAGCAAGTGTTAGATTGCCAAAAGTAGAAAATCCTGCAAAGTTTCGTAACATGCAATTCATAGATTATTGTTAATTATGTAACTTTGTTTAATCACATATATATGTTCGTATAGTCTATACATATACCATTCTCAGTGATGTAGGTAAGTGGGTTTGTGTAATTGTCTTTGATATAGTTTAGAATTTGACGGAGTCCAGGAGGATAATACACAAAATTAGCACTGTAAGAAACCGTTGGAATTAGTGTATAAATTTCGATTTATTATGAGCCATTTTTTGTTAAAAGCTAAATTTGATACTCACTTGAACACCAATTAGAACTCCACCACGAGAAGCTGCTTATTAACAAAGAAAACAGAAATCAGTTTATGTAGACATTGCATGGAGATACTATATCATTACCAATTGCATGTGAGATAAGATAATACCGTTAAATTAATATGAATATATGAATTAAAAAAAAAAATTGGATAAACATACTGCTAAAATTGGCTCTCTTGGATCAGTTTGGATGTTGGGTGGTGTCGAAATGGATCGCAAGGAATCAGTTCCATATTGCGTGAAGTAATAGTTTAAACCTAGAAAATCAATGGATCCTTTCACTAATTGAGATTCTAGAAGTGTAAATCTCGGCAATCTTTCCCCTAAAGTATCTTTCATGATCTTCGGATAATCTCCATACACCACAGGATCCAAGAACCATCCAAAAATGAAATCAATTGCTCGCCGCGCAGCCATATGTCCTGTGAATATGGAACTTTGAAATCTACAAGATGGATTCATCGAAAGGGAACAATGAAATATATTTTTTTGGGAGACGAAACAATTCTTTTGGATTTAGGTTTGGTAGTGCTCGTCAAGGACATTTAAGGAATCAAGAGAAATTCGATCTACTTCAATGGCAATGATATTGAAGGTTGCGATAACAAAAACAATGTTTTCATATTCAATCTCGATACAAAGAAAGTTGAACAACCGCACTAATTTGTTTGTTCGTCCGTTCGATGCTATGACGCGCGATGGTTCTTACCAAGTTTCAAATGAGAATGATTGATCCTTTTGTATTTGTTTTTCTAATATTTATGTATTTTTTTCATATTGTTACAACATCTTGGTACGTAATAGTTTTCAAGATTTCATGATGTTGTCTAAATTTGATGTTATTCCAATATGATTTTAAAACATTACGTATATATTATATATGATATGTTTAATTTACTTTCACACTTGCAAAAGAAAAGAGACACAAGTCCAACATAGATGTGTTTAGGGGAACGAAAAGGAAAAAAAAAGCATTGAAAAGATACAACAAAGTTGAGATCAATTATATATGTTTGAAATTTGGCACAAACCATCGTGCATCGGATAATTGAATGGACGAACAAAAACTTTGATGTGGTCTTTCAACTTCTTGTGTGTCGAGATTGAAGACAAATATATCTTTTTCACTCCAAACACGATCATCATATTCAGAATCATGATAACCACTGAAATATATTGAATTTCTATTGATTCCTTCGGTGGCGCTGGCTAGCACAGTGATACCTTGATCCAAAAGTACTGCCTCGTCTCCCAAAGAAGTAAGTTTCTCCCAGTCAGTATTTGAAGAATTTAGTTTGTAAATGCGGAAGGACCAAACATCCAGATGACTCCATATCATGCTCTTAACTCTGAGGGTTTCTCCAGTCAGTGTGACTACAAGATGCGTTCTTTTGATATGCCAAACATCACCAAGCTCTGGGTAAATACGTTCTGGCATTCCCTTTTCTATCGCCTCATCATAGTTAACGTGCGTTTCAAAGATTTGTCGTGGAATATCTCCAGAAAATTCCAAAACTTTGACATCACGCGAGCTATTATACAAGTAAATCTTATGATCTTTGTATACCATATCACTGTAATCATTAATAGCATGTTTCCAAAGATTATCTCCATTTCTACAATAAACCAGACACGGGTATTGCCTTTGCATTAACCACATAACCACATAATCTTTGGTTTTTTCATCTATCCACAATATAGGGAGCTCAATATGGATGTCTTTTTCAGGATAATGGAAATATTCATCATCAATTTTTATACGGAACATATCATCTATGGTTCGTTCAATCTTTATTCTACCAAATTCTGCCTCCACAGACGGAAGATTAATCCTCTCGCGAGTAAATAGATTCATAATATAGAGATTATATCTAGGATCTTTCATAAAGAGCCAACTTCCATAAATTGCCAAACAATGACTACTTACGAACTCAACACCAAGATCTTGTATCCTATACACTTTCTCTTTTTCCTCAGGATTAAACAAGAGACAGTAATCTTTACCTTTTTCTGGAAACATAATGAGCCAAGGTATAAATCTGTTAGCTCGGCACAAATCGTAGTTTGCACGACCTCGTCTTCTCTAGTTCGTACGATCTTTGTAACTCCGGCTCGTTCAAATTCGTGTTCGACAAAACCCAATCTTATTCTGTAATTGATCTCATCAAAAAATTAATCAAACATCCAGTTCGGCTTCGTACTAAAAGTTATCTTCGGTTATTCATACGAGAAAGTATTGTTGGGATCGTAACATCAACATATTCGAAAGCACTTTGAGATAAATATTCATGAATTTTAATGTTAATTAATCGTTATTGAGATAGTAGTTATACATAATGCAAAATCAAGGGGGATACCACATGATTCTGTAACAACAAACAATGGTCAGACAATAAGATAAGTAATTTGACTGGGAAAATCATCTGATCGGATATTTGGGTCCCATTGTTAGGAGAAATATAAAAACTGGCGCATCTAATTAATTTAATGCTGTTAATTATCTAATCAATTAGTGTATTTGATCTTTCTATCATACTTTTGAGTTTTGAGGCTCACCACTTAAATCAAACGTCTGTATTATTACATTATAGTGAAGAAAAAAAAAAGGGTAAATTGATCTGTTGAGGGAGTAAATGTTTTTATTAAAGAAACAAACTATTTTTTCAACTTTTTTCAACATGATTGTCAATTTCAATTGCTATATATATACTAGAAAAATATTATTCGTCAATGTGTATTTTATGTTAATGTGACAATCCAATATATGGTTCATAGGGTATCAGTGGATCAATGTGATTGCTTGTTTTGAATACGATAAATCAATTGCCATAGAAAATTTATATCTTGGGAAAATATTTGATTAATGAAAAAACAAACGATTACGTAGTACAAGAACTTGCCATCAATTATAATATTGTTTTTTGGCACGAAGCTTCCATTTCCATAAAGTTTATATAAATCAACAGACAATAACCTTTAGCATTTTTTTTAATCGCTTTGTTTTGGACAAAATATACAATTCGAAGTCTCACAGACACAGTCACAAAGTCCTAATGACCACAAAATAAAATAAATCTTCTCCTTTACTTTATGGTCTTTTTGCCAACAATAATTAGAGAATAATATGTGGGTGTAACAGTGCTCTTTATAAGCCTCTAGCGCAACAAAAAGTCGTCGAAATAAAGCAAAGTATATTAAAAAAAAAAAAAAAAAAAAACTATTAATTTACACAAAGTAAAGATCACATATTAAATTTTTAAATCTTAGACAAGTAACCAAAATCAAAATCGAATTTTCTACTTTGAATCGTAAGTGGCTAAGTTCGAATGATTATGTTTCCGATACCTAAAGAAATAAATCAAAGTAAAAACAACAAGAAGCGCAACACCGGAGACACCACAGATGATACTCGCCGCAAGAAACACGTGCCTCATCACGTGATCACGTCTGTTCCCAGCTCCGTCTCTCCACCAAGAATCATCGTCTCCACCGTCTGCCGCCGTAGCTTTAGGGAGGAGCTGAGAGTGAGAAGGAGGAGGAGAAGAAGAATGTGAATCTCCGAAGAAGGACATCATTTTACCCGGTGGTGAGTTAGATTCAGTCGGTGGTGAGCTGAATTGATACTGTAGGCCATGATCTGAAGGACGTAATTCTCCGGCGAGTGAGTTGCCGGTGAAGATAACGAGGAATGTTATAGTGAATGGGAAGATCGATGAAGATCTAACGCGGTTTAAGAAAAGAGCCATGAGAGAGAGAGAATTTGCTTTTTAACTCTTTTTTTGTTTCGTTAACTAGTTAAGTAGCTTTATACTTTATGTGATGTGTGATTAGTATGAACGACACCGTTTTCGACACGAGGTTGTTGTGGGGGTCCGTTACCGTAATACTTTCTGGGGTTTTCATTTTTTTTTTTATCACGGAGTCTCACCGATGTTGATAGGTGTAAAAGTGATCATAATATTGTCAAAAAAAATATACCAAGTCACCAACTCTTAATGGAGAAGAAATGGGTTGGTTTTGAACTTGAAGAAAAGTATTTCTGTTTGCGTTTTATACGTTACAAAATGACTTTTAAAAGGATTAAAATTTGACAGGCCCATCCAAAAGATTTTGTTTTTTCGGGCTAAAACTATTGGGCTGGGCCTAGATATACCTTCCACCGAAGAAGGTAAGATGTGAACTTTGGTGTGGAGGTGAGAGTCATTCCCATGCTTTCGAAGGATCACCCGTATTCCGTGGCTGTATTGTTGAATTTACTAGAATATAATAGTTGGGGAATAGGGCCATCAAAATTGTATATGTAATTGTGAAGAAAGATCCCACATTGGAAAGATCGGAAGGGACTTGAGTAGTATATAAGGGATATGGGCCAATTCACTCATAGCTAATTGGTTTTGAGTTGGAAACCCATAAAACTTAACATGGTATCAGAGCCTGAACATACGCTGGCTAGTTAATCCGGCCCGGAAAGAGGTCCGATCACCCCTCTAATTGATGGCCCAAATGAAGGCTCAATTCCGTCAAGATAGCTAGAAGAGCATTATCTCGTGGGGGCGTGATGGATTCTGTCGAGATTAATGGCTAAAAGAACCATTATCTCGAGGGGACGTGTGAAGAAAGATCCTACATTGGAAAGATGGGAAGGGACTTGAGTATTATATAAATGATATGGGCCAATCCACTCATTGCCAATTGGTTTTGAGTTGGTAGCCCATAAAACTTAACAGTAATGAACTTCAATATGATACCATGATGGCATGATCATTGTTCTTAACTTTGATTGAAATACTTTAATTACTTGCATTGATGATGACTAATGAGCGTTTACGTATCATTGAGGCTGCCACACAGAAGATGAGGAAGGAGGGTGCACTTGATTCAAACCTCAACCTTGGTGTGATGGGTTTGTGACTCAAATTTTCATTCAAACCTCAACCTTGCCACACACGCTTCTATCATATGTCCTAATTTTTTTTTTTTTTTTGTATTGCTTCTCGAACCAGAAACTATAATTTGGATATTAAATTTTTAAAATTGGAATATCCTGAAATTTAAAGATATTTATCCGGTATCGAGTCACCGTCAGATTTCTTATTCCAAAATTCAAGTTTGCAAACTGTGGCCGCAGGTCAACCAATGCTTACCATCCACATTGGTTAATTTTGTAAAGGTGTCTTAATAATGTTTTAATATTAAATTTAATATTATGACCAATCATGTAATGACACCTAAGGTCTCTCAAACAATCAAAAATGTCTGTAAAGAGACACGTTGCTAATAAAGAGACACGATTGTCTTCTGTTCATACATTTTTTCTTTAATTTTTATTATATTTTAATATAAGACACCCAATTTTTTTTGTCCAATGGAGTTGCTCGACACAAAAATTGGTGGCTTACACGAGTTTTTACCTGGTCTGTTTGACTCTAATGAGTGTAGAAGTGTAATTGGCCGAGCTCAAATTGTAATTTTTTTTCAAATGCAAAACATTCCTACATGCGGGCAAACATTCATATTTGAAGCCTAATTAATTATACTCCTTTTTTTTAACATAAATGAGAAAAGATTTTCAACGGAACCAAGGAAAAAAAAAACGACACAAAGGAAACAAACCTCCGAGGGAAGATGATGGAGAAAGATCAACAATGTTTGAGAAATCGTGTTCCAAACAACACCTAGTTATATAATACACAGTACAATTCACATTTAGAATTAAAAATAAACATGTTATTTTTTAAAATTCAACTAAAGTTCAAACCAAAGCTCGGCACAGCCCATAGCACTACAATTTTAAAGTTTTTTCTCCGGGGAAAGCACCAATAGGATTCTGTGAGCTATAAAGTAAGGCCCATAATACACACGTCATATTAGTGACGTCATAATATTATTATGGTTCTCGATTCTATAAGCTAAAGTAAAACCAGGATTCTGTGGACCAATGACACTGCAATTTTTAATGTTTTTCCTCCAGAGAAAGCCACAAGTTAATAAACTTTTATTTGATATTCAAATCATATAAAAATAGATTGAAAAAAAAAAAACCTTTGCTGAGAGAGCCTGACATTGGTTGGATAATTAGAGTCGTTGGATCAGAGTGTGTTGTGGGTTTTATATTTTAGTGCTCACCAGCTACAGCTCTCTGACACTCTCTTTCTCTCAACGCGGTTTCGTGTCACCTTCTTAACTCTTGAGTTATTATTAACCAATCCCACTTTTATATTTTGGAATTTGGTAGATGAGAGATTTATATTTCGTTGCACCAAGAAAATAAATATTTGATTTTAAGTTGATGACCATTATCTTAAAAAGTAGTATATACTACCTCTGTTCCTAGATATTTGATGTTCTAGAGTTTTAGTTTGTTCCACAAAGTTTGATTTTTTAGATTTTTGTTTTATTTTTTATTGATTAAAATTAATATATCGTAAACTTCAAGACGTAATGATTAACTGTTTTCTAATACTATTCGTTCAAAATTATTAAAAAATATTTAGTATAAAAAAGTAATTGACAAATAATTAAACAATGATTGTTTCTTAATATATGTGAAAACTTTAGAACATCGATCTTTTAGGAATTTTAGGAACAGAAGGAGTACTAAAGTTTAAGATTTTTGTTTTCTTCTAAAAAGATATGCAAATAACTTAACAATTTTACCACACGTCACTAAAAGTATGACATATTGACTTTGACTTCTCCATATATTCCTGGTTGTACTTTTATTTCACAGATTCTTGTACTCCGTGAAGATCACTTGAGTTCAACGTGAGTTATAATTTGATACAAAAGTAACTTACCAATTATCAAAAAAAAAAAAAAAATAGTAACTTACCTATTGAATACTTTGTTACCTAATTGACTTTAAGAAAATACTATAGTCCCTTAATTCTATGATTTAATTGTGCTAGTTCACATATTAACCCTTAGGGTTAGGGATTAAAAAAAAAAAAAAAGACAAAACTTATTTCCACTCAAGTATCCGAAAAAATGGGTAGAAAAACCCTCGCCTTTCATAAAAACATAGAAAAAACCCTCAACATTTATTGTGGTAAAATAAACCCTAGTATTAAAAAACTTAATTTAAATTCAAAAAAATTGCTATACTAAAACATAAATAAATAGGAAAAATTTGATTTCGGGTGTTTCTTCTAAAATTCTAGTTTACAATATTTTTCTAAATTGAAAATATGTGTCATGATGTAAAAAAGTTAATTAGTGAAGTTTTATTCAGTGTGTTACAAAAATTCATCAACGTGAAACCAAACAGATTTTGTTACGAATTATATATAAATTCTTATATCGAAACAAAATATGAGTTTATATTAATAAAAGTTTATTAGTTTCGATCACACAAATTTACTAACGTAAAACCAAACCAAATTTTATAAACTATGAAAAGTACATGAATTTCTACATCAAAATATTTTCATTAGACAAACTAAATAAGATTTACTAACAATTAATATATATATATATATATATTACGATATATTAAAATATAATATAAATTATATTTAATTAATTATTATTTAATTATATTTTTATCCAAAACCTGAACACTCGGATAAAAAAAAAATCAAATGTGATATCTTATAAATTTTTGTAGTTTATGTAACATAACTTCTAATTATAACAAAAAATAATTTGCCTAATCTCAACTAAATGGTGAATAAATGTTCATAGCACAAAAACCCTAATTTTAGAAAAAAATCGTAAACTCGAATTTGAAATAAAAAATCATAAATTAAATTTTTTTGTTACTTACTGTTTTAATATAATGATTTTTAAAAAATTAAATTGAGTTTATTAATATTAGGGTTTATTTAACCATTTATAAAAAGGTGATGGTTTAAAATCCCACAAAAAAAAAATTAAGGGTTTTTTCTATGTTTTTAAGAAAGTTGAGGGTTTTTTTACCCATTTTTCCCAAGTATCCCAATGTCTGAAGGGAAAATATTTAGACTCTCCTCGCCGTTTGTTTATTCTTCTCAACGAAGGAAAAGAAAAGAAAACTCTTTTCCAAGTCATGGCGGATCGCTCCGGATCACAGTCCTCCGTCGTCATTACCATGAAGGTGACCACTACTCCGGCGGCACATTTAGCTTTCACCAACTTGGCTTACTGCTCACTCTCTGATCTCTGTCAATTCGCCGTTCCCGGCACCGATCTCTTCCTCGCCAACGTCGCTGACGTCTTCATTCTATCGTTCTCATATCCTTTTCTTAATCTTACCTCTGTTTTCAAGTTTTAAAATTTTATTAGCTAGTACCTTATAATGCGATCTCTTTTAATAAGTACATTGTTTTTGAACTGTTTGTTTGGTCGGATCGGAAGAGGTGAGCTTTATTTGTATCAATGCCCTACTATTGTCTCCCTGGGTGTTTAATTGTTCGGACTGCTACTTAATTTTTGTTAGTTAACTTAACTGTTACATACTGGACACGAGAGTATCCATGATGGAACCATTGCTCTAAATGCTGTTCAACGAAGACATGCTAGAGTTTCTGCTGATGACATGGTAACCATCAGCAGGTAAATTCTCACACTAAGATTTTTGTCTTGCATTTTATTTATTTGTTGGTCTCTAAAGACTGTCCTGTTCTTGCAGATTCATTCCTCCTGAAAATTTTGACCTGACTTTGCTGGCACTTGAGATAGAATTTGTAAAGAAGGGCACTAAAAACGAACAGGTATGCATTTTTGTGGTGCGTTGATGATCCGTGAACATCTTATGTATGATATTATCTTTCAGGTTGATGCTGTGCTCCTTTCAACCCAACTCAAGAGGAAATTCATTAATCAGGTAAAGTTTTGAACCATTGCTGCGTATGACTTTATGTGTCCTAGCTCCTAATATATGATTTGTATACTTTGAGCTCATGCTATGTCACTAAGACCATGTAACTAAGAGGCATATAAAATAAATCAGGATGCATTATTGTTAATCTACATTCTTTTCCAATTTTGCGCAATATGCACATGGATTTTTTCTATCTTCTTTCTTTGTGTTTTTTGGTACTAATCACATTTTTCTTCTGCTGAAGATTGGTTTCTCAATGAATGTGTTTTCCTTGTCTCGCTCGCATTTAAAACATTTGCATGATTTATTGAAACTATGCATACTTATATATGCAGGTCTTGACAGTAGGCCAGAGAGTTACATTTGAGTATCATGGAACTAACTACATTTTTACGGTCAATCGAGCGGTGACAGAGGGGCAAGACCAGTTTAATGGTATAGAAAGAGGGATAATCTCCAACGATACATATTTTGTGTTTGAAGCATCAAATGCAACTGGGATAAAGGTCTGGTTTTGATCAATTCCGTTGGTTTGTTTAATCACTTGGTTCTGACAATACCATCCAACCAACATTTATCTTATTAACTCACTTTTCCCATTTATATTGTTTGGCAACTCGTGTTACTTGCTAAAATCTGATTTGTGTAACTTCATATACAGATTATCAACCAACGAGAGGCTGCTACTAGCAAAATATTTAAAGAAAAGGAGTTTAACCTTCAGTCCCTGGGTATTGGTGGCTTAAATGCAGAGTTTGTTGATATATTCCGAAGAGCATTTGCTTCTCGTATATTTCCTCCTCATGTCAGGAACAGGTCTTGTGATTCGTTCTTCAAGCAGATTTTGTCAGTTATTGCTGCTTGTAGTCCTTTAAAGTTTCTATTCTTTTGATCTTGCAGATTGGGGGCAAAGCACGTTAAAGGGATGCTTCTTTTCGGACCTCCTGGTACTGGCAAGACCTTGATGGCACGTCAAATTGGAAAAATGCTCAATGGAAAGGAGCCAAAGGTATATTCCTGGTCCTCTCAACACAAATGTGTGAGGCTGTTCTGTGTTGGCTTTATTCAACAAGTATACATGTGTTTTTTTTTTTCTTATCTTCACATCATAGATCGTGAATGGTCCTGAGGTGCTAAGTAAGTTTGTCGGTGAGACAGAAAAGAATGTAAGAGACCTGTTTGCTGATGCTGAGAACGACCAGAAAAACCTTGGTGCGGAAGATTCTGTTTACCCTGACTTGTGCTATCATGTTTTCCTTTTCTTGCAAGTGTGCTAATTTGGCACTCTTTTATAAGTACTTTTTCAGGTGATGACAGTGAGCTGCATGTCATTATTTTCGATGAAATCGATGCTATTTGTAAGGTACACGACTATATTAAAGCTGCTGTCAATTTTGACATTAAAACACTCGTGTTTTGTGAACAATCATAGCGTCTGATTTGTGAACAATGTTCGTTAATTGGTAGGCTATATGAGTTAAACTAAGTTGTAGAAATTGTATGTTTTCAGTCAAGAGGATCAAGCAGGGATGGCACAGGTGTCCATGACAGTATTGTAAACCAGCTCCTGACAAAGGTTAGCGCGTACGACCAAGCTATTGGCCTAAATTTACGTCTTTTATCTTTCCAGATGTGGCTAACACTTGTTATTATCCAGATTGATGGTGTGGAGGCCTTGAACAATGTTTTACTTATTGGAATGACAAACAGGAAGGATATGCTTGATGAAGCTCTTCTAAGGTCTCTGCCTCCTTGTGCTTATTAGTAGTCATTAACTCATTTCATTTATAAAGTATTTCCTATATTCACTTTGACAAGATGACATCAAAAGCTTATTATGTGTTTGCTTTTATATATGCATGAACTTTAGATTTGAGTTGGTGGACATAGATAATAATGTTTTGTGTTCTGCATGCCTACAGGCCTGGAAGGTTAGAGGTTCATATTGAGATTGGGCTTCCCGATGATGCTGGACGTTTAGAAATTCTTCAGATTCATACGAAAATGATGAAGGAAAATTCATTCCTTGCTCCTGATGTCAATCTCCAAGAGCTTGGTATGCTTTCATCGTTCATACTTGTTCATATCATTTTGCCAGACCTGTTCTGCATGTTTATAAGAAAAAAAGAAAAAAACTTCCCAAATGCCCCTTTCATTTGTATTAATATTTAAAGTCCGCACATGGACAACCACAAGCATGTGTGACATAGAAATTTGTTATTTGCTAGCATAAAATCTGACTATTGACCTGAGTTGTCCATTATTTTTTTACTGAAAAGCTGCTCAGACGAAGAACTACAGTGGTGCTGAGCTTGAAGGTGTTGTGAAAAGTGCTACATCATATGCTTTGAATAGACATCTGAGCATGGAGGATCTTACAAAACCAGTGGATGAAGAGAATATCAAAGTTACAATGGAGGATTTTCTTCAAGCATTACGTGAAGTAAAGCCTGCATTTGGAGCCTCTTCAAAAGACCTTCAAAACTGCAGGTAAATTTGGTTGAATTAATCTGAGTCATTAATGTTCTTACTTGAAGTTCTCTTGCACATTATTTATTGATACTAGTTACTAGCACCTCAAAGTCCAGTCCTGATGTTTTTTCTTACCTAGAGCCTGCTTATGTTGCGTCTGAGATAGGTTTCATAGACAAAGATGGGCTGAGATTACTCTAGTTATAGATTTTCTTTTCTTATCTTTTACCTTATTGCTCTAGTTGTAGATTTTATTTGCCGTCAAATGCATTCATATTGCATACCTTTGGCTCTGGATATTGATCTGCTAATGCTGGTATTTCCTATATTTACGACATATATTATAGACCCAAGGGATTTGTGGACTGTGGTGATCGGCAAAATCTCATCTATGAAAGAGTCATGTTTCTTGTTGACCAAGTTGTCAACGAAAGAAGTCCTCCAGTCACTTGCCTTCTTGAGGGACCTAGTGGAAGGTACCTTTACACTTTATTTTGAAACAACACATTTTCAAAAATAGAATATCTTTCAGTTTCTTAAAATTTAACTTTGTAAATTATAAACGCAAACGTCAACGGTAGGAAAAACTTCTGTTTGCGTTTGCGTATGCGTATACAATAAACAAAAGAAGTTTGCTTAAGATGTGAAAGGTTTTGGATTCGTTTGGAAGAAAAAAAAACACTGAACACAATAAGCAAAGGCAAAGATAAACAAACATTAATTGAGGCCTATATCATATGTTTTGGCATGTTGTTTCTAGCGTTTCCTAATATCTAAGCTTCTTTGGCCAGTGGGAAAACTGCGTTAGCCGCGACCGTTGGCATGGACAGTAACTTCCCATATGTTAAAATAGTAAGCGCCGCTCTTTCTTTCATTATACTGGTTAGTTATTTTGGACCCTTATAAGTTGTTGACTCTTTTGTTTGATATTTTGTTTTTGTTTCACCACTTGGGCAGGTCTCTGCAGAGACAATGGCTGGTCTTCAGGAGAGCACAAAGTCTGCTCACATTGCCAAGGTCCTAGCTTCAAAGCCTGCTACTTCTTTATTTTGTGCTCTGAATGTCTACTAACACTTGTTTTGGTGTGAATGATCAGGTCTTTGAGGATGCATACAAATCACCATTGAGCATTGTTATCCTTGACAATATTGAAAGGTGGTGCATACATTTCTACTCTCTCTTTCCTTCAAATACTTGATTGGTTTCATAATTCTTATTTTTTTTTTTCTATAACATTTGTAGGTTGTTGGAATACTCAGAAATTGGACCACGATTTTCAAACACGATTTTTCAAACATTGTTAATCTTTCTCAGTCAGCTTCCCCCGGAGGTATGTTTCCTGGTTTCAAAATTTTAGTAATTTTCCTCTACGGTACAAAGTAACATTTGTCTAACTTGGTAAATGTTTTTTGTTGACAGGGGAGCAAACTTCTTGTACTTGGTACAACAAGTGAATTAACGTTCTTAAATGCCGTTGGTTTGCGTAAAGCTTTCTCTGTGACATACTCTGTTCCATTACTACGGACAGAAGATGCTAAGAAGGTAATTTGTTTTCCTTGCAACTCATTTAGTTTTGGTTTTTTCATTCATGTTAGAAAGGGCCAGAGTTAGGTTTCTAAGTTCATTTTAAATTCCAAAAAAGGGTACTGCATATTTATTTGCTTTTTAATCCAAAGTTAAAATTATAATTATGTAAATGGGTCGCATGAAAACAACCTTAGTGTCTAACATGTTCTATGGTGCAGGTGCTGAAGCAACTAAACGTGTTCTCAGAGGATGATATCGAAGAAGCTTCCAAAGCCCTTAATGATGTATGTACTCGATCTCATTGTGTCTTTAACTATTACTTTTTTTATCAGAACTGACAAACAAAAGGCTCGTAATTATGAATGATATCACTATATATACTTGTAAACAATTTCTCACATCTTTGGTAGATTCCAATCAAGCAGCTGTACTTTCTTATCGAAATGGCAGCCCAAAGAGATGGCAGGTCTAAAGAGACTATCTATACAAGGAAGGAGAAACTCAACATCACTCATTTCTTTGATTGCCTTCAAGAAGTTACCGGATATTAGCATCTGATTTTACAGTTGCACAAAACAGTAATTAATTTAAGACTCTCATATTGACTCATATTGCAAGAGCCTTCAGATGGCATTGCCGAGATTGGTTTGATTCTTATTGGATTATTAAACTTTATTTAACTAAAACGAAAAAGATTCTATTTATACATGTGGTTATGGTTTTATTTTAGTAATCATTTTTCTTATTCCAGAATTGATATATGATTCTTGTGAGACTTAACTTAGTCACTAGATGGAACTTTTCAACGGTATACTTCATATACCAAATAGAGAGAGAGAAACAGAGAGTTGTCAAAATAAAAACATTTACCAGTTAATATTTACGTACCGGACATTATTAAACTATATGCATCAGATGATATTATCACCATACAATAAAGTAGTATATGCATCAAACCCATATCAGTAGAGTATAATTTGTCTTCTTTCTTGATATACGACCTAGTCCTCTGTCTTTCCTCGCCAGCAGCATCATGGAGAAGAGCCAGAGCTAAAATCATGGAAATTTAAAAGTATTTGTATCAGCTTGAAACATAAATTAAGAAATAACTCAAAATATATTGAAGCAAAATCATGGAAAATATATTAGCATGCATAATCTAGAAGCTTCTATTACGAAATGACTAAAAAAGTAAAATCATGGAAAAATTTAAAAAGCATAATAAATTAACTCAAAACTCATCAAAGCAAAAATGACTACCTTTCATTCTCACTTGCAGGTTTCACATCTACCATCGCCGATGTGAAATCACCATTAATTGTCAGCTTCAAACCTTCAGTAGTGGGATCTCCTCTGTTTCTCAACAGTTGTGTGGATAGAGCATTACCTTGAGCAAGTCGAACAAGAAGCTCAAGCTCAGGGCGATCATAGTTCACGGTTCGAGAAGCTGTAAAAAAAATTGAAAATAAGAATTAGGACATAAGATATAAGCGTGTGTGCCTGAAGAAATGAATGGAAAATTTGAGTCACAAACCCATCACACCAAGGTTGAGGTTTGAATCAAGTGCACCCTCCTTCCTCATCTTCTCTGTGGCAGCCTCAAGAATTCGTAAGCGTTCATCATATCTGAGAGGAGAGGTAACATCAGCCTTTGATCTTGCACCAGCCATATTGTGTTTGGTGTTGTGAGTGTAAGGAAAAGCAAGAGAATTAATGAACTTGATCTGATAGACTTATGATCGATCTCAATGCGTGTATATATATACAAGGCTACAAGTGTGGGTTTTTTTTTTCATTTTTTCTAAACTTTAGGGGCAAACAAATAAACAAAACATAAAAACAGGAATGGTTAATTAATTAAGTTGAGAAATTACCCTCAAAAATATACAGCATAATGAAGTGAGTATATTGAAGGTCACTTTCAATCTCTTTGCTCTGTAAAGGGTAATCGTGGAAGTAACTATCAATCTTTAAGTTTAAAACCGCCTTGAGAATAATCCTCAAAATGTATATCAGCTGAGGCATTATGGACTTATGCGTATAATAATTTCCTTAGCACACCCCGATTTAGAAACAAAAGAAAAATTTCCAAGGAAAATACAAACTAGGTTAATTGTCACATTCAACTTCAGCAGGCAAAGAAAGTTGTTTCTGATTTGCTGCACCCTCAGATTGCCCCATGTAGAAACTAGTTTGATACTGCAGATATGATATTAATTATCTGTGTTCACACACATAATTATATATATAGCTCCAGTTTGTATATATAATACGCCTAATTGTATACATACCCATGTGGATATTTATTCCTTCAGTAAGTGAACATTTTTTGTTATCCAACTTGCTGCTTTATAATTAAGAAAATTATCTGTGCATGAATTCTATCTACTATATATTACTTCATATACCATTACAAATATAATATATTTACCTACACTATGTAAGTGGAAGAAGCTCAGAGAATGTCATTTTATATTTATTCATTGTCAATTATATTTGAGGGAAAAAACCAATGCATGCATTTTTATCAAAAAAAATTCACACCTCACACGCACACCAATATATATTATAAAGATTTTATGTACTTAATTAGTTATACTCTATAAGATCAAATCGCTCAGTCGGCTGGAGAAGGAAGCAATACCATTGTACAAGTACACGTGAAGTACACGTGTGAATAACTACGGTTGGATTTATGAAAATGGGCGGAAATTAATAACAAGTCCATGAAACTTTTTTGGTTTAGGCCTTAAGGAGTTTTACATAATACTTTTAAATTATTCATACATTACGTCTAAGTGAAATCAAATTCCAACATTTTCCACACAAAAAAAAAAATCATTCTACCAAAGAAATTCCAAAAAATGAAATTACCATTCTGTTTAAAGGTTCTTGATGCACCTGAGATGTAACGGTTGTGAGATTTATACTGCCAATAATTTGACGGGACCCAAAGGCTAGCACTTCCGGTATCAAAGACAACGGTGAAAGTTTGGCCTGGAGTGCCGATTGTGATCTCGCCATAGTATCTACGGTCGTTTTCATTCTGCAAACGAACTCCATCATTGTTCGGTGAGAAACTATCTATCTTCAATGGGATTCTCACAAGCGCTTCTGACACAAGAAAAAGGGAAAGAGGAAAAAAATATACGTATACATTGTAGAGATATGAGGCTCAGTGATATTATAAGATTGAGAATGTATGGTATATATAGTGATTACATAAGGGAGATTAGAAATTAATGAATTACTAATCTAGCCTTTACTTATATAAAGGATGTAATTGTGTGTTGAAGTTTGTAAAGTTTGGCATCAACAAAAAGACAGAAAAAGTTTAAATCTAGTTGATGTTTTCTATCTTAACATGGTTTTGAAATTATGAATTTTCATTTAAATATCTGAGCTCTGCTTTTTTATAATGTTGAATTCATTTTTCCTATTTGTTTTATTTCAATAAATGTACCACCTAAAAATATTCTACAATATCACGAAAAGACAACAAGAGTAGGTATAATCAAATTCGATAATTCAATTTTTTTTTTTCGTATTTGCACTACTCAATTTGTACCTTCAACTTTGTAGCCTCAACAAAATTATTTCAGGGTCAATTAAACAGAACATGCTAGGTTCATTGAACATGGTAATTGTTGATATATATGTTATACTTGAATCAAATTATTTAATTACTCGCAAACAACCAAAACAACCAAAATCATACTACTAGTAAAAAAAGAAAGGTAGGGTCCACCTCCTTTTACTTGATGAAACGCAGAAAGTCATACCTATTCATTCCTCTACCAGGCTGTGTAATGGCGTATACTGAGACATTTGATGGCTCCATTGTCTTAAACTGGAAAGTTGAATAATAATCCTATTAAATAGCATTTTGACTATCGTTCTCTCCAATGGCGGATCCAGAAAATAATTCAGTATGGGGCACTATATATATAAATAATAAATAGAATTTAATTAGCTAAATTATATTATAGTTATTAAAAAATTTATTACATTAGTTACAATTAAATTGATATAAAGTAAAAAAAATCAGAAGAAGAACATTGGAAAGGCTTGAACTTGGGTTGATATGAGGCAGAATTTGGTGTAAAATCACTAAACCAACAACATTTATTGTTACATGGCACTAGTTTATGTAATATATAAAGGATTGAGCATGGGGCACACATGCCCCACCCAAGACCAACGTGGGTCCGCCTCTAGTTCTCTCTCTCACATAATAACTTTCCTCTCCTCAAGTAAAAGAAATATGATCCCTACCAAGAAAAAAAGAAATATGAAAACGAGCCTTCAAGTTTATCTTATTTATTTTAATTTATAGTGTTAAACCATGAGTCAATGATAACATTTTGTTTTTGGTACTTTATATGAAGATTTGATGAAATCATGCATCCAGACTTCTAGTAAGGTTTTATTTTATGTTTTTACAAAGTATCTAGGGATCGTCGAGATATTCTATTTTTTAGTCACAACGTCTATTATTCTGATTTCTTAAATTTGATAAACAAATCAAAATTCATTTTTTATTTAACCGTGGGATACACGGTATTAATTGGCATGCATGAGATAGTGCAGTAAAGTCTTTAAGACAAAAAAATTTTTTGGTAGGAAGTCTTTAAGACAAAATTAGTGCCACGTATATAATGCAAATAAGTGTGTAGACTCCGAAGAAAAATATAGATAAGTTTAGGGCTTATTTGGAAAGTTGATTTCTACCGGAGAAATGAAAAAGAGAGTAGGATAAAAACAAGAAGAAGATACAAAAAAGCTTATTGAGAATAACTAAACGTGTCACATAGTGGCGAATCAGAGACTAATATTTCAAAAAATTCAGAGAGTAAATAGAGGCAGGTATGACTTTATTATGACTGAAACTACATATATTCCTTTTGTTTTTGACTTTTCTGCAACTTGAGGTTTCAGTGAGTAAAATAGATGAGGACCACTACCCTTTCTTTTATTTCCCACTCTTTTATTTTTCTTCTCTCTTCGTGCACGAGAGAGAGAGAGATCGCATAATGAGTTTTTGTCCAATTAACATTAGACCCCACCTTCTATATACATGAACAATCACATAGAAGTACTTTCATCGGACTATAGAGTTAAGAGGGAAAAAAGTGATTGTGAAAAGCCAAGTGTTTCCATAGACTATGGTCTTGGTGTGAAAATATAATCCTAAATTATTATTGTATAATTTTCATCAATATAGTCCTAAATTATATCTTTCACATGTTATATCTTTGAATAGTGTAAATTACACTGTGTAATCCTAAACTATATCTTTTAAAGTTTTTGGGTGAACGACCTGTGTCCCCCCAGTAAGTTTCATATAGTACCATAACAACACAGATTTCGGGTCTTGTCTCCAGTCCACACAAAACGAAAGTTAAACTCCAGTTTCCCCCTAAATTGAAAGTTCGAGACCTCAGTCTCCATAATTTTAAATTTCGTGGTTTATCTTCGGTTTATTGTACCGAACCCAATGCCAAACCAAAACCCAGAATAATAAACCGATTTTGAACCCGATTCGAGTTATCCCCAAATTGAGAAATCTTAGAACCCTAATTTCGATCTTATAGTATAATTCTATCGCCATGTTCATGAGATTTTTGTGAGAAAGAAAAAGCTCTTTTGTCGTTTTTCTTATCTTTTGCTCTTTTTTTGGCTGTCAAAAATCAGAATTTTTTTGTCAGTGTAATAAGTTCTTGAGATTCTGAAAATTCAAAGAAGAAGAAGAAGAAGAAGAAATTGAAAATGGGTCATTACGCAACAGTGTGGGATCAAAAAGAAGCAAGTGAGATAATCAAAGATTGGAATGGCGTTGACCAAGTCCTTCTCAGAAACCCACATGGTGCTTCTGCCAAGGTCTTCACTATTTTCTCCAACCTTCTTACGAGCTTTTTTTTAAAACCAATTTGGGTTTTTGATTTTTTGGTTTTCCAGATTAGTTTACATGGAGGACAAGTGATTTCATGGAGGAATGAACAAGGCGAAGAGCTTCTTTTCACTAGCAACAAGGTATGCAGACACTACAAATACATTGTGAAGAAGCTGAAAATCCAAAATCTGATTTTTAAATTTGGTTGTAAATTTGCTAGGCTATATTCAAACCTCCTAAATCAATGCGTGGAGGGATTCAGATTTGTTATCCTCAGGTATAATTTACTAGTAGAGCTCACTGATATCTTTTCTTGATCACTTTGTAATTGAATTTTGTGTGTGTGTGTTTGTGAAGTTTGGTGATTTTACGATTTTGGGATTATCGGGTTTAATGGGTCTAATAATTGGGTTGGTTTCTGGGTAAATCCAGTTTAATTTCGATGTTAAGCGGTTAATTGGGTTCGGCACAGTAAACCGAAGATAAACCACGAAATTTGAAATTATGGAGACTGAGGTCTCGAACTTTTAATTTAGGGAGAAACTGGAGTTTAACTTTCGTTTTGTGTGGACTGGAGACGAGACCCGAAATCTATGTTGTTATGGTACTATATGAAACTTACTGGGGGGACACAGGTCGTTCACCCAAAGTTTTTAGACTCTTTCCCTAAGCTTTGTAATCTAGGGTTGGGCCTGAAAGTGTCAGATTAGTTAAATAAATATATAAGCCCAGTTAGTAAATGTTCATCAAAAATCGTTACTATTATAGTATTATTATTATACAAGGAGTTCGGTTGTAAGTTGTGTAACTAATTAACAGACATGTGAAAACTAGAGAGAGAGAGGTAGCATATATTACAGATATTATATCTTGATCAAGTTTAATCAACGCGTATCGGAATTCGCAACATTAATAAATAAGCATAAAACATTTTGTTAATTTTTAGAGACTTCTAATTTATAAATTAGTTAGCAATGAGCGTTTTGGTCTATGTATATTATATAGTATGTAACTTTCATGTGGGATATTTGTCATTTATGATGTGAAATAGACAAATAGTTGTTGTATGCTTCTTCGAGAAAATTGTATATTTGTCTATTAATCTCGATATAATCTTCATAAAAACTAATTTTGAGTTACATTGATCGGATTCTCGGACCAAATTGATATTTGTTCAGGTAAGGTAGTGTGTGATTGGTCTTAAATAGAATGCGAAGATCATGAGTTTGAGGACATTGTTCTATGGAAAGGGAACAATGATATGTTTAGGCCACACTTGAAACCATACTCGAACCACCTCAAATGCAGTTGCTTGGCACAAGGGTGTCTGGTTTAATCATTCAACACCAAAATACTTCTTTTGCGTTTGGTTAGCGGCACTAAACCGACTCTCAACAAGGGACCGCATGTCCCACTGAAATAGGGGACAATCTACGGTTTGTGTGCTCTGTCACAATGCATCAGAAAGTCGCGACCACTTATTTTTTTCATGCGAGTTTGCTTCAACAGTATGGAATGACTTAGCAAAGAATATCTACAGCACAAGGCACTCCACGAACTGGCATGATCTGATTGTCTCCATCTCCGGAAATTGGAAGGATCGAATTGCAAGCTTCATTGCTCGATATGTTTTCCAAGCTACGATACACACAATCTGACGTGAGAGGAACGAGAGAAAGCATGGAGAGAAGCCGAACTCAACAGCTCTTTTAATCAATTGGATCGACAAACAAATTCGAAATCAACAATCATTCACTCGAGCAAGCGGTGATAGGCGGTATGACAAGGGTCTCCAAACTTGGTTTGCATTGCGAAGTTAATTTTTAAACTTTTATTTAAAGTATTTATCAAACAAACGTTGCACTTGATGTAAAAACGATATTTTTATTTTGAATTTAATTTAGCATTACATGCAAAAAAAAAAAAAAAAAAAAAGAAGATCATGTGTTTTTGCAACTCGAAACTAATTGTCAATAAGTTAATTAGTAAAAACACGCTTTTAGGCACACGCTAACCGTTTTCTCGCCGAGCCCCAAACCGTTTCATCACAAGCCTCCGTTTTTTGCATCGTTTCTGGCCGGCGTCGGAGATCTTTTCTCTTTGACGGGGTTTTGAGATTTGTCTCTCTCTCTCTCTCGTTTTATGTTCGTAAGGTCCGAGAATAAAGGTTTTAGAGATGATTCAACTTTATAGAAAACATCATATTTCTGATTTATTATTTAAAGAAGACATGAAAGTCCGTTACTTTATATTACAATGTAACACAGTAGCTTTATAACCGATTACTTTATGTTTCATATTTTCTTTAGTTTGTGTTGAACGTACAATACCATTTAGCCGAATCTTTCTCCCTTCTATCAGCTGGATTAGTGAAGTTCACCCAATTCAAACCAAAGCGGATTGTGTAACCGCTACTGAACTCGTAATTATCCATCGAAGACCATGGAAAATACCCAGCTATGTTGCATCCATATCCCTATATAAAATATATACTTATATATATGAAAAAACAAAATGATATTTTTTTCTCCCAAATATCAACTGGTATCATCACATATAACTTACTCGATTGCGCATTTGAGACTAAACACTTCATTTGAAATATAATCATCTCATAGGACGAGTGGTTTTCCTACAATAAGGAAATGTAACCCAATGAAACTAAAAACCTCAAATCTCACACTAGCTAGTTGTAAACATGGAGTTGGTTCTATTGTGCTCTAACCATTCTCTCTTGAGATGAAGGGTATATTCAAAGGGAACAGGCTTAAGGCAGATTTCGGACCTACAAAAATTACGGTGGAGGCTTGAACTTCGAGGTTATCAAAAGAAAATAAAAAATGTATGAACAATATCTTCAATGTAATATAACTAGGTAATACTCCAAATTTTGGATATTTACTTTTTCAGACGTTTTATCATATTGTTCATTAGTTCAAAATAAAAAACCAAATGATGTAAAAAGGTGTTTTACCCAAATTTCTGAGTAAATGAAAATGGTATACTATTCAATTAATCTTTCCAACAAGAAACGAACAATGAAAATACACATGTGGATCAAAATGAAAACCAAGTGATTAAAATTCATCAAACGATGTGCCACATACAAGTAAATTTTCATGACATATATATATATATACTAAATTTGATATTATTCCAATATGATTTTAAAGACATCATATTTATAATTTTACTTTCACACATGGAAAAGAAAAGAGACACAAGTCCAACATAGATGTGTTTATGGCATTAGAAAGAAAAAAAAAAGTATTGAAAAGATACAACAGACTTGAGATCAATCATTTCCGTTTGATATTTGGCAGAAACCATCGAGCATCAGATGAATGAAATGAACGAACAAATATTTCTGAAATACATCCAATTTTGAATAATAAGATAATATCAGAGCCTCATGGATTATAAATTTGTTACATGTTTAAATATTGACCGTGTATATACAAAACTCACTTTTCCAAATATAAAAAAGATTTTTTTAAGTGTGAGATTCTTGTCTTTTGTTTTTGTTTTAGCTTTGTATGATCTGCACTAGGTTATATCACAGGGAGAGTAAAAGTGTATATATTCAAAGATAAGTAACCAAAACTAATTTGCAATTCAGGTTTGTACAGAAATTAAAAAAATCATCTGTCATTTTCTCTATACACAAAACGAATTAATGAATATAAATTTGTTTGTAGAATAATTAAATTAAAAGAGCTTGCTTGCGCATTCATCTATAGCTGATCCTTGTAACCTAGACAAGCTAGATCTTCTGGCGAGATCTCTCAATTCAGACAAGCTTCTCCCAAGTTTCAACGCTACTTTTGTCTCAAAAACTTGCCCATTCTCTCTTCTCTCTGTTTTGATCGTATCTTCCAAAAGAGAGAAGAATCCGGCGGAGTTTCTATACATCTCAAACACCATCCCTACTTGACCTCCGTGCTCTAACGTGTTCATTACGGCAGCCAATGAAGCACACGTTGTTGCTACTACTCCAGCTAAACCTGAACCGTGCCCTATAAAACCGGAACTTACAGCAGCGATTCCGGTTAACACCGGTCCAGAGATTGCCAAAACCCGGTTTAACTTCAACGCCACGTTACCTAATTTCTCGTACTCCTCTGCATCTCTACTCTTAATAACCTCAACCACCTCTCTCATCTCCATCTCTAGCTCCGAGTTCCACCCGTTAGCTTCGGTTCTGGAATGAGTGGATTCGGGTTTTGTTTCGGGCCACCAAGTCGCTGGCTTGAATTCTTGAGGGAACTTCTCGAGCATGGTGCCGACTAGAGGAAGTGGATAAGCTTTGTCTAAACAGAGCACTCTCTTTATAGCTTCTTTCACGTCTGCTTCACTGATTCCATCTTCACTTTTCTCCCTCAGAACCATCTCGATTCTGTTTCTTAGCTGCTTGAACAACCTCGTTGCGTTCCTCTGCTCTTCCACAAGCTGTGACGGCTGAATCTTGTTCATCAAGGCAGCCAAACCTGTAGCAGAAGCCAGCAACACCGTAGAAGCTATATTCACCGCGGAAACGGAATCTACTCCACTGGCGTTCATAGAAGCTATTCCGGCCATCAAAGCAGCAGTGAGAGTAATCATGTTGACGGAATCGAGCAAGAGAGAGTTCCAGTTATTGCGTTGCTCTCCAATGTTCTTGTGCATCTCTACTCTATCTATAACTTCTTCAAGAACCGCCATGAGTCGCGATCTTTGCAAAACCTGATCATCGCACCCTCTCTTCTTCTGCCTTTGTTTCTCTAACAGCGAAAGATCAAAATCTTCAGCAAAACCATCCAACCGAAAACTCGGTTCCTCGACTCTGAAATTCCGGTTCTTGATCGGTATTTGCGGGATTGCGACATTAAATTTCCGTAATTTAGGGATTGAAACTGCGGATCTTGTTCTTGTGCAAGAAGAACAAGAAGTAGTAAGCATAAGTCTTGAAGCCTGTAGTGAAGCCATATGATATATGGAGGAGATTATGTTTTGTTGATTATGATTGTGTTTGTTTCTGGTGTTTCTTGTTCTGTTTGTTGAAACTAAGGAGCAGAAGATCTAACGTATATATAGTTTGTGACAATTACAGGTGAACAATAGAGGAATAGAAAATGTTTGACCAATAGCCAATAGGAAGAGACTTTTGACCGATGACCATTTCGTAGCTGTTGGATTCTCTTGTGGCGATTTTGGTCAACCATTAGAATCAGTAAAATCTCTAACTTCTCAAAATAAATTATGGTTCACTTCTTGTTGCCTCCTTAGAACGAGTCTTGCTTCAACATTGAATAGTTTGTATTCAAAATCAAAAAGTCTACATAATATATAAAAACAGACTAATACGGACTAATATAAATTAATACAGACTAATATAAAAACTACTATAGTCTGTT